TTTTTGTTTTGTTTGTGTGTGTGTGTGTCGGTGTGTGTATATCCTATGTTGTATAGTAAATAATAAAAAGTGAGTTACCTCCCTTTAATTGCTTTATCGTTTACATTTATGTATCAATCAAAAAAGAAACGCACAATTAAATTATGCAATCAAGAGCCTATGATATTTTGGGAAATTTGTACAAAATATTATATCAATATGAAGGGACAAGTCTACTCTTTACAATACTGTAGAAGAAAAGTATGTGTGACGTCACTCGTGTCATCAGAAGTAACTCAAAGTAGGATACCCGCGAAAAACAAAATGACACTTCAGTACCTGGTGTGGGCACCTTTTGCACGAATCCCTGCACGGATTCTCTCCTATGCATTGAANGGGGGACGTTTCCTAATACGCCTGTCCAGCTCATCCCACAGATGCTCAATGGGAGACATGTCGGGGCTATATGATATGGGGGCCATTCCAGAGGCTGAATGTTGTTTGCCGTGAGAAAATCACGACAGACTCTGGCAACATGCGGTCGAGCATTGTCTTGCTGATTTTAGGGTAGATTGTTGAGAAGGGAGATCGTTCTTGATGTAATACCTGACCAAATATATTATTATTCCCTTACAGCTAAAGTGTACTGCAGGGGGGAACTTTGTGCGTTTCTTTTTTTTGTTCAGTATATTTTCATTTCAAAATATCTATAAAATATATTTTGCTATAGTTCTATATTATTGTAATACTCTAGCCACCTATGGAAAGAATTTATATAAGCTTGCCTGTTATTCGATCTATTTGACCATAACACTATGTCAATAAAATCTGTTGAAATGAACTCAATTCATCACCCCGTGAAATCGACTAAAGCAAGATTCAATCCTTAAATATATCAAGTATGCCAAATATGATTTACACTGACTATACAGCTGTTTCGTTTTTCTCTGACTCATCGGTGATGCTAGGACAAAACAAATTTGAAACCCAAATTGGTCTGATCTACCGTTGAAACAGAAGGGAGATGGAGTGGCGGATCCAGAGACCTATCTGGGTTTTTTCACATTTCCTGGGGGGTTTCCATGTGGGGAAAAATTGAGGAAAATTGTGAAAATACATGATTTTTAAAGAAAATCCCACGGCCCAAAAAAGCTTTGGATCTGCCACTGAGATGTGTCAAACCCCTTAATTTATTGATTTCCAAATTTTGAGGTGAACTGACGGAATATGCCATTTCATGTGTATTTTGAGTATTTTTGACCCCAGTGTTATAAAAATGAAATATTTTACAATATATTTGTATTGTTCTAGTTAATGCGGTAATGTAGCTTTTAAAACATGTAAACATTTATTTTTCAAATCGTCAAATATTTACAATAAAATTTGACGGTGTATACTCTTTTCGAGGACTCTTAGTTTTTGAGTTATACATTAAGATAATGCCCGCTGTATCTCATCTATTCCCACAAGAAATAAGATTTTTGTCTGTCTTCTCTTCTTTAATTGGTCAAAATCATATCCAGTAATAACTTTAGTTCTACGTGATGGAACATAATGAAACCTGGTGGAAGGGCTCGTTTTCGACAAAATAAAAATCACTTTGGATTCAAAATGGCGGCCAAACCCAGGTTTCTGATTGGTTGAAATTTAGATTTTGTCTGATTTTGATGATTTTTGGTATATCTGTGGTACTTAGCTGCGGAGGGTAGGGTGACTTCCGCTATTGCTCGCAATTGCAATTCTAGTTTTATTATATTAATGCTCATTTTTTCTTGCAAATATTGCCCACATGAACCCTAAAGAGGTCATTTACTTTGTAACATTATGAAGGGTCTTATAGGCACCTTTCCCCTATCGGTTTACGACGCAGATTCTATTCGGCTTTCAGTCTCTGCAAGGTAAGTTTTAAACAGATGTAAATCACAACTCGGCAATAATTGTTTTTATTATACAGAATATTTCAAAACAAAACAGAAGTCGAATAACTTCAATTTAATTGATACAACAAACAGAACTTCAACATGATATGGCAGGGGTGACCGGGGCAAGTTAGGCACACAACATGATATGGCAGGGATGACCGGGAAAAGTTAGGCACACAACATGATATGGCAGTGGGGACCGGGACAAGTTAGGCACACAACATGATATGGCAGTGATGCCCGGGACAAGTTAGGCACACAACATGATATGACAGTGGTGACCGGGACAAGTTAGGCACACAACATGCTATGGCAGGGATGACCGGGACAAGTTAGGCACACAACATGATAAGGCAGGGATGACCGGGACAAGTTAGGCACACAACATGATATGGCAGGGGTGGCCGGGACAAGTTAGGCACACGACATGATATGACAGGGATGACCGGGACAAGTTAGGCACACAACATGATATGGCAGTGGTGACCGGGGCAAGTTAGGCACACAACATGATATGGCAGAGATGACCGGGACAAGTTAGGCACACATCATGGTATGGCAGGGGTGACCGGGACAAGTTAGGCACACATCATGTTGTGGCAGTGATGACCTGGACACGTTACAGAACTTCAACATGATATGGCAGGGATGACCGGGACAAGTTAGGCACACATCATGTTGTGGCAGTGATGACCTGGACACGTTACAGAACTTCAACATGATATGGCAGGGATGACCGGGACAAGTTAGGCACACAACATGATATGGCAGGGATGACCGGGACAAGTTAGGCACACAACATGATATGGCAGGGATAACCGGGACAAGTTCGGCCCATATTTATCAAAGCTGTTCTGGACTGGTATGGTATTTGTGTGTGTATATATATCATTAGTTGGTTGAGAGAGAGAGAGAGAGAGAGAGAGAGAGAGAGAGAGAGAGNGAGAGAGAGAGAGAGAGAGAGAGAGAGGAGAGAGAGAGAGAGTTTGATTAAGTATATATATATGTGTTTATTATTTTTTTAAATGTAAACAATCTTTTTCGACACCGACGGCAGAAGTTTACACTATACAGTTGTTAAAAACTTTCATCTTGACTATTTCTGTAGTTTCCTCCTTGAACGCCGATTTGATAGTGGTTCTAACCCACTTTCAGAATAAAAAGAAATTCTACTAGCATAAGACGGTAATCCATTGATTATTCGAGCAGACTCCAACTCAAGTTTTTCCAATTTGTCTGCGTCACCGAGAGAGCACCCGTCCCAAACCTCACAACAATATTCTAATAAGGGAAGGATGTATGATTTATAGATTTTGAATAAAGTTTGTCTATTAATCATATATTTAAGTTTACGAAGGATACTTACCTGCTTGGATACATTTTTACATATATTTTCTATATGTCTACTCCATTTACAATAAGCGTCCAAAATAACTCCTAGGTGCTTATGATTATCTACAAAATCAACACTCACATTATTGAATTTAGTATCTATCACATGATCATGTTCAATGTTTGAGTAATGGACAAAAAGTATTTCCGGAATCTCCACACTTACTTTTTATTACATATTTAACATATTTTTTCGCATTTTGTATTAGCCTATTCCGAAGTAAAATGCGATGCTATTAAAACGAAATTTAATCTATGTAATAAACCATATTTTTTTTACGTAATGGGTTGATAAAATAATATTTTAAGCCAATGAAAATGCTTGTTACAAGCAAGATTAAATTATATATACATATGTGTGGGTACCGAACATCAGTGAGGACTTCGTGGCACAGTTAGATATGATGACAGCTAGTGCATCAGTAAAATACGGAGATATAGACAGATAAATCATTTAAAATGAAATACCATGATTCATAAAGAATTAAGAGTATGTCCGTAAATCAAGGGGCCGTATTCACGGAAACGTTCTCATGCTCAAACCCAGATTCTGTGCTCAAGCCCAATATCTTGTTCCAGTGATAAATGTAATTTAAACATTTTGTCAATGATTTGGAAGATTTATGGAGTCTTAAAGCCGAAGTATATTTTCAATGTTTACATTTGACTTTTTAAACGTGTCTCATTATTTAAGCGAGTAACAAAGTTGGTTTGAGCACAGAATTCATGCTTGAGCATTAGAACGGTTTCTTGAATACGGGCCGAGGTGTCGGTAATATAAATTCAGTCTCACTTCAATGTATGACATTTCATACGTTTTTTACGAATCTATGACATGTTTACATGTTTAAAACGACGGTAATAAAAATATAATATGAACACGAAAATCAATTTTAGGATATTTTATTGATTACATGTTTGTTACTACATAAAATTCGCCAGAACAAAACTGACCAATACAAAACGAACAGAACTTTGCATGTTGGGAATTCTACAGAACCTGGTGGTCAGCTTGACTGAATGTATGATAATTCAGACCATTATTGGCCATTGCAGAATCAGTTCATTTTGAATAGCGAAAATACCAAGCACATGTTAAATATACGAGGGACCACTAGCTGTCAGGATCCGAGAGAATTAGAACCTTCCGAAAAAATAGCCGCAATCAGCGTGAAACCACTGATGGTTTGAACTGACCTACATTGTATATATATAATACATTTGGCAAATATCCGCTAAAACACCAATATCGCTTACAACGAAAAATCAACTATGTAAATGACATAAACAACAAATATTGGAAACATCTACAGAGGCCCATTACAGGTCGACATCAACATTGTTAGAACTGACATGTACTTAATCAACAAACGCATGACACTTTTTCATGAAAATCCTTTTAGTCAAGATGAACTGACTTAAAATTGACCAATGCTACATGGTCAAATTCCGGCTCCACAACTTCTCAAATCACATAATGACCAATAGCAAAATGTTAGCAACTGACCAATCAAACAATTCAACACCATCGAAATTTATAAATTAGACCACTGCTGGTCAACACTAGCTAAGTTCTAAATGGTCAGTTCATCAGGTATTGGTCAGTTCTTCATGAGATCACTAGTGGCCACAGAGTTACAATTCAATTTAACAAATATAAGGTACAATTAATATATGTAGCATTGGTCAAACACTCGTAACCCCCGAAAAATAAGACAATCAAAACGAGACTGGTACGTCAATCATTAAACTTCTATTCTATCACCGACTGCCATCCACATTCTCCTCTTTGAACGGCGCAACGAATCTGCAATGAAATAAATTAATAACAAGCTTAAGATTTCATGTAAACTTAATGCACAATCTATCCGTTCTCAACTTCAGAATTTGTTGTCGTGATTGTAGTAAGGACATCAAGGAAAATTAATTAAAAATATATTCATTAAATTAATTATTCAAAATCAAAATAATATTTTCCATTTTCTTCTTATTATTTTGAGGAGGAACGTACCTAGCCAGGAAAAGGTAGTCCACCTAGTGAGGGAAGGGTGAGGGACATTATACCAACCTAGTAAAGGACACATTACCTAGAAAATGATATAGTACCAAATCAGTGAGGGACATAGTACCTAGAAAATGATATAGTACCAAATCAGTGAGGGACATAGTACCTAGAGAGGAAGGGTACCTACCTTGTAAAGGACATAATACCTAGTGGGTGACAGTGCTCCTAGAAAGGGATATAGCACCATCCTAGCAAGGGACATAATACCTAGTGGGTGATAGTGCTCCTAGAAAGGGATATAGCACCATCCCAGCGAGGGACATAATACCTAGTGGGTGACAGTGTTATTAGCGAGAAATAGAGTACCAACCTAGAAAGAACAGAGTACATAGAGCACTAGTAGTTGATATGACGCTGGATGCACACTGGGAACAATACCATATGCTCCTCCTCAAAATGTTGGACGAACTTCCTCTCCAAGTACAGGTTATTCCATGGTAGCTCTTTGGTCAGTACCACGGACAATTCTAGTCCATAATAAAACAACATCATGACGTTTGACCTTTTAGCGAAGTTCGCCTTGTCTTTCTTACGAGTACCGGAGGGTTTCCACAAGGATCTCCGTTTAACCTGACACGGGGCAGTACCGCAGTGACGGCACAGGGAAGGACCTGTACAAACAAATATTTATGTTAGGTCAAATTTCCGAAATCCATGGTAAGTTTTCGACAAACAAAACATTACTTTCTATGCATCCTAAGATTTTATCAGAAAGGAATCGGAGACTGACAGTTAGATATCTGACTGGTTCCAGACACGCAAATCTGACCAATTATAGAAAGTGATACCCTTACTTTAAAAATTATTAAAGAGCTACTCTGGGATCAAAGCCTGTCAAGTTTACAATTACATTGTACGTTACCAAACAATTCACTTTAATATTTAATCAAAAAATTGCTCTGAGAACACAGGTATGCAAGATTCTGAAATGGTTTCCAAGCCATTAGAACAATTAAAATAAACTTAATCTATTTTACAACATACAGTCGAACCTCGTTATCTCGAAGTCGACGGGATCGTAGGAAAACTTCGAGTAATCTGAGTATTCGAGTTAAGCGAGTTCTTATGTTTGACAAAACGCTTGGTAAAGTGTTTGGTCCAACATGATGCTTTACATGCCATTGATTTCTCTGACAATCAACGTATTTAAACAGACGATAAATGACAAAAAAGAAAACTCTATAAAATAAAAAAGAACAATTTATTCATAATCATATTCATTAATTATATGAAACAAACTATTTTAACTCATATTAATCACTCCTGTTGGTCCAGATGGCGCGGGTGGTCTTAATGTGGGAGGAAACAGGGAATCGAACTCCGGTCGCCTTGGTGAAAGGAAAGTGCGCTATTCACCGCGCCACCCGACCACAACCGTTGAGCCATGAAAAGGAACATTACTTTTAGAAAATATCTTAATTACCGGGTAAATAGAACAATAGAACTTAAAGTGAGAACACCGGTAATTATACTGGACTGCGGCCAACATGGTTAACAACTTTCGCGAATAAAACTGTGGCATTAGAACCTATTGTAAAGTATTTGACATATAATGTCCGTGTCATCAAAAGAAACTGGGGAAAAGGCGGTTCAAAATACAATATGCCAAATAATAATGAAACACAAACATCTTATCACATTATGAATGGTTACTTACGAGCTCTCCATTCTTGGAACATTGACACGGCGGCTGGCCATTTCTCTTTGACGATTTTTCCGACCGACGGCGCATAGCCCAACAGCAGGGTAAGAAGCACACACAGGAGATTATAGAATACCTCATTTCCAATTTACTAAAATAAATCAAATCATAATTCTTTTTAGGAAATAGTACTATAGTACAAAATATTCAGTGTTTTTGACCCGCAAATTCCAAAGATACCGACACCGGAAAAGATTTTTTTTGCGACAACTCGATGCATATAATAGACGGCGGCTGATAAAAATTGCGAAATACACACAGCTAAATCATACGAAACGAAATGCGCGTAAAACATAATAGGTATATTAGTTTGGTGAGAATTAGAATAAAATACGAATCATAACAATCAAGCTTACAAAATTATCAGGGGGGGAATTGTTGACGTTTTCATTACAGTCGTTAACATTGAAAATATGTAATCCTTACCCATGTCAGATCAGTAATTGTTGGACAGACTTTCTCAATTTTACTTGCGGTGAAATTTACAAAACAATCTTTTGGCATATCCCGGCTCGGGCTTCACACTACGTAGTTAAACTTACAAAGTTAAGATTATATATTTCTAAACATTCAACGACAACACAATCGTAAACCTGAAACATTTATCGACGTTCATTTGAGCTCCGCGATATCTACATATAAGATCCAATCTTACCATGTCTGGTCCAAACTTACCACGTAAGGTCCCGATATACAGCAGGCCCTTGGTGCATGGCACACATCATTACCACAAATATCAAGAATAACTTGATATTCATTACGGTAGTCGAAGATTTAAACAAAAGTAGTAAATATAAGGGGAGAGACTGATCATCTCACCTTCGACGATTGCTTAGCAGCTTAGCAACAAATATGTGACGTCAGAAGTGGGCATCTCTATTTTACCGATCATGACGTCATGCTATTGTCTTTTACCTACTAAGTGCAAGCGGTTACACGTTTTTTTTTTATTTAAACATATTTTATTGATATAATCAAATGGATTGGGCACAAGTTATAACAACTTATAGGAGCCCTCTCCTCAACTATAATATTACATTGATAGTGATAGCGACATATGCCAATCAAAATGAAAATGAAAACAAGGAACATAGAAGAAAAAATAAAATAAAATAAAATAAAAAGAGAGTTTTGAAAGACAGAAGAGATCATAGAGATGAGTAGAGTATATTTCGAATTATACAAAAGGATCATTCAAAGTATGAATATTTTGAAACTACTTCAACTTAAACTACTGCACACACTAGCTACACATCCTTTTCACATCAGCTATTCGTTTGTCCATATAAAACACATTCCTTAAAATCCCTCCTCGAGTCATTCCTGTTCCTTCTAGGTAACATATCAAAGTGCCATGCAGCGGAATCATTTCAGTTTGAAAAGAAAATATATATATATACAATTTGCTGAACCAGTAACACTATTAATTATTCTATAGAGCTACAGAGCAGAATGAGAGGTTTAGGAGAGAAGAGATTACGACAGATTAGATACATATACCTGTTAACACACGTTGGTGACAATGCTTATGGTACCAAAATGTTTTCTGTTATGAGCCGAACCCAGGACTAGCGGCAGTAAGTGCTTCAAGTATGAGTTGAATTCGGGACTTATAGCGACAGGATATGTTTACCTTAGAATTCCACTGAAATTCGAGCACAGGACAAGCGACAATTGGGCCCGTATTCATGAAACCGTTATCACGCTTAAGCATGGACCAAGTGCTCAAATCAGGTTTCTTGTAACTCACTTAAATCATGTCAAACGATCAAAAAGTCAAATGTAAACTTTGGAAACATTATTAGTGACAAATTACACTTTTTTATTAATCTATAACCGGAGCAAGAAATTAGGCTTGAATACAAACTCCTTGTTTGAGCATGAGAACGATTTCATAAATACGGGCCCATGCCCGAATTGAAATTAAAACAGCAGAACATTGGAGTTTCACAAACCAAGCTGCAAGTAATATAATACGGCCAATACGTCGTTATGCTTTGCAGATACGTGAGTTATAGGTTAGGAGTAAGTTAAACTTACGGTAGCTGTACGGTAGACATTCAGCTGTATCTCAAACGTATAACCTATGTCAGCGTATGTCTGACGTATATTTAACGTACACATGTATGTATAACGTATGAGTAACGGCTGATGCATACGTTCCATACGTTCGTCGAAACATTGTGAGCATGCCCACAACATATTTAGGGCTCGGCGCATGCCAGCGTGTGACTTCGTGCTGTTAACGTTATAGCTTATGTATAACGTACCCTGAACAAACACCAGCGTGTTTGAAAAAAGTGGCATACGCTGGTGCTATACGTAATGGCGTGACTGCGCCTTAAAGGCCTCCTCACACATAGGCGAATCCATTAAACGCAGCCTGGCGAATTGGGTAAATTTGTCAACTCCGGCGAATTTTGACCGAAACTGTTTGAAAATGTGTTACATAAGTTGAAAAATATAACGAAAGGTAAACGTAGGGGAACTATTTGTTGCGAAGGATTTACGAAGTGTGACGAACGGTTACTGTTATTCGCTAGAATGCGTTGGGTCGCGCAAACTCTTTGTTCTTTGCGTTAGTGATTAGAAACGCAAACATGCGAACCGAAGCGTAACTTTGCGAATGCTTCTGAAGCCGTCCGAAGCTTTCCGAAAGGGTATTTCCGCATCCGGCCGTTACCGGGCGCTATACAAGACTGCCGAAAACCAGTTGGAGTCATTTGCCTTCTAACTTTCTCCGACTCGACACCACGTGGTATTGCTGTTTGATTTTCAACTTTTTTGAAGTTTTGTAAGTGCAAAAGTATGCCAAGGGGAAGAGGAAAAACATCTAGAGCGAGAGCAAGAAAGGCTGCTGCTGTAGAGCCAGGGAATCCGAGGTGCAGTCTGATGAGCAGCCTGGCCATTAAGATGATGCTGAAGAAACCCTTATAATTATGATATAGGGAACCAGAGCTGGCAGGCTTTCTGATGGCCATCAATGGCAGCAACACAATTAGGAAAGTTCCAATTCTTGAGGAAACCATCAGCCAGTTGTTTCAATTCGCCAGGTGTGGAGGGGGCTGTCATAACCTCATCAACATATTCCTCACATATAGCATGACAGACTTCTCTGACCACTACAGAGAGGGTATTCTCAGCGACCCGCCAGGAGTACTTCATGTCTGAGTACTAGGCACCAGAAACCAGGTGGCGTAGAGTGGCAGCTAATTTGAGGCCTGGATCCAAGGGCTCCCTGTACCAGGTGTGTCGTTTCCAGAGGAGATGACGGACTCGTTCGAATATTTCATCATACATTTCAGTTGGCATGAAGAAGAATTTCTTGAAAGTTCTAGGGTCTTCTCTTCTGAGCTCAACCATGAGCTGATCATAGATGCCAAAATGGCGCCGTCTCTCGGGATGCAGCCATGGTGTTCTCCAGATGCGACGTGCTCTGGCTCATCTTCTCCACCTAAATTGGCCTCTGATGAACTGGTGGATGTTGAATTGTTGCTGGAAGCCTTCTTGGTGGGCTAAAGCAGCCACATACTGCAGCCTCAGGCGTTGTATATCTTCCATTTTGACGAAGGTTCGCAATAATACCTTTGAGTATCTTCGCAAACTATCGCAAAGATTCGTCATGGGATCGTCCTCGATCACTTGATATGCAAATTAGCTTATCACGACCTGGTAACTTGCGTCCTCTAACGCCAGTTGACGAACGCTATGCGGAGACTTTCCGATTGGTAAACGTATTGAAACGAATTTTAACGAATGGTAGACGAAACTTTTATTCGCCACAAATTTTTCAACATGCTCAAAATTTAACGAACAAGACTAATCGCAACGGACACAAAGCTCACAAACGCATCCATACGAACACACCAACGATGTACAACGTACATATACTAATGGGAACGAATTTTACTCAAGTCCTGTTCGTTAGTACACGCAAGTTGACATCAGGGGTTTTTAGTCTATGTGTGAGAAGGCCTTTAGATACACCAAGTACACTACATTGATTGTATTGTTTACCGGAAGTGATGCGTTTGAGTCATCAATAGTGGACTGTTGGCAGAAATAAGTATTAAATGTGTCAGCTTTGTACTGGTCATCGGTAATTACCAAGTTATTTTGTATTTGGAAACCCTGTACATTTGTTAGCTATTTTCCACCAATCCAAGTGGAGGAATGGTTTGTTTAAGTTTGTGAGATAGTTTAGAATAGTATTCTGCAGTAGCTTTCCTTATAACATCAAGACAAGAACTTCTAATTGTTTTAAACTCATTCCAATGAGTTGGATTTTGAGTACCTTTTCGCCCTCCTATGAATTCTTTTTCTTGACCTTATTAAAGTTCTAATAGTATTATGCATCCAGAGGGAGTTTTGGAACGAGATAACTTATACAAGTCTAGCCTGCCGTTCAATTCTATATTTTACACAATAAAGTATGATGAAACTGAAAAAGCTATAGTGAAAAATCATGACGCTTGTTATATTCTGACAGTCTTTGTTTATTGTGTACTGTACCGCACCTCTTAGAAAATTTATTAAAATTTCATTTCATTTTTTCATAGCCTAGGGTACTCTTTCATACAATTTTATTTTCTATTGTATAATATTTTAAACTTAACATACATTCATCTTCATCAACACATTTGAGTATCCATAGGCTTGGACCTCTGTCCGCTGTTACACATTACATGTCCATACTAACACCATCATAATCACTAAGTGACGTGTCACTGAGTATATATTCTGTCCGCTGTTACACATTACATGTCCATACTAACACCATCATAATCACTAAGTGACGTGTCACTGAGTATATATTCTGTCCGCTGTTACACAGTACATGTCCATACTTACACCA